TTGAGATGTTAGTGAAGTTTTTCCTACAATTTAATTTCCTTGATCGTCGTCTTAAAAATGCAAAATCATCAGTTGAAATTTCACTCGTCTTGTTTTTTCAAATTTTCGAATTTTTGTAAAATATCACGTGCGCCAGCAATTTCTCTGCCAAGCGGCAGCAAATTTCCCAGCTGCTGTCGATTTCTCGTTGTTGTGCACACTTATGACAGTGGGCTTTTTTATTATTTGAGTTGGCATGCTCCTCTACTACTTTATGAAAGAAATCAGTAGCCTCCCGATATGGGCAACGAAAATAACTTTCTAGGCATATTTTTAGCCTACATGTGACGGCCTATATCCACCCTATTGCTGACATCTTCCCACTACGGGGGTTTTCAATATCCCTAAAAAATTCTCGTATATTTTTGTTTAAAATAACCTCACTCTTTGTACCGAACTTTCTAAATACGGACACCCACCTGAACTAAAGAGCAAATACAATAAACGAGGGCTGCAGTAAACATGTTTTGTGAACTTAAAATAAAAAAATTAATTATAATCAAATCATTTAACAATTATTCGCCGAAGGCGAGGCGATTATGGGGGAATATTCGCCGAGACGAAGTCGAGGTCAATATTCCCCGATAATCCCCGAGTCTGAGGTATTTTTACACATGTGTTTTTGGGACTGAAACTATTTTAATTACGCCTATTTCTTTATCAGCCGACTTCCACTGTTCCACAAAACAGCTAGCCGCCATTTTGAAAATTTCGGTTTTGTTATATTCACTTGTAGGTGAATATAACAGCTTAATACGGCAAATTTGATCAATGAACGTGTAGGATTTGTATGTTCATTTGTGCATAAATACTAATTCACAATATTCTTATGTAGAGGGTAATATCCCGCTTTACGTCAGGTTTGTTCACGTGCATTTTACTATCTTGTTGTCAAAATAGCGAATTACAAGTTGGAATATTAGTGTCAGTAGTAAAAGACCCCCATATGGCGGAGGAAGTAATTAGTATGCAAAATCTATGACGTCATTTGCTCGGCAAGCCTGGGCCAAATGTGACAGGTAATGCGACCAAACACAATAAGGTAACGCGACCAACTAGCATCACAATAGAGTAAAGGCACTATAAATACAGTGTGTATTCAACAATCGCGATGGAATGTTTTCACGGTGGACCAGCAGCAAGTTCAAGAACTGTTCGTGGTACGTTTTGGTTTTGTTGCGAAACGCCGAGATGCGAGTTCTTTTGCCATGACGAAGACTGTTATCTGTTTACGAGAGCAATGGAAGCCTGTCAAAATAGTGGTTCCAATCATCCCATTTGCCCAACACATCAGAGATTAGCCAAATTAGGCGTGGTGAAAGATAAAATTGACGAGTTGAGACAAAATAAAATAGATATCGATAAGCAGACTTTATCGTTTCATATAAATGCAATTCTCGACCAACATCGAGATCTATATCGTGCAGTGAATGCTCATGGCCTACACCTAGGCCAAATCTACAGAGAAATAAATATGACAAAATTTGGTCGCATTTTTGCCTATTTAGCTTTAGCTTGTTTGCAAAGAGACAGCGAGGAAAGCGTTCAAGAAAATGTCCGAAGAACTGTCGAGGCCTTTCGAACTTTTGGCAATGGGGAGACATTTACGAAAGCCCTCGACCACGCTGCAAGCACGGGATGGTATGCACCGTACGAAAAGTGAAAAAAGAAGGACCCACCCAGAAGCGCCTGTTTTACTGTTGCCCTCTCGCTAGCACTGTAACACTGATTCAAGCCTCAGACATTGATGGCAGAAGAGTACCTGAACCAAATCTATTACAATCCAGAAAGTCCCGCAAGTTTTGGTGGCGTAGATTTAATTTACCATGTTGTAAAAGACGAAGGAAAACGTCAGATATCGCAGAATAAAATACGGCTATGGCTACAAAAACAAGACACGTATAGTCTACATAAACCTGTAAGATATCGTTTCAAACATACCTAATTTTAGTGTGCAGTGATAACCAATTTGTGCAGTGATAAAAGTAAAATGTGCAGTGATAAAATGTAAAATGTGCAGTGATAAAATTTGCTTTGATAAGTTGTTAATTAACACAAGAGAATGATTTAATTGAAATTGAAATGATGACTGCCAAATTATCGAATTACAATACAATACAATACAATACAATTTTTTATTCAGTACCGGTAGTAATACATACATAAATATAAAATAAAGATAAAGTTACGAAAAGAAGGTACTAGCTAACTGTAATAACCAAAAGGCTAATCGAGACAGTCAGCAAATTTGATTAGTAACAAAATATATTTTAGTGGGTAAACTGAATAAATAAAACACATGCAATAAAGATTTCAAAATGGACAATTTTGATGCTATAAGCTAATATGAATTCAATATATTATTTTTAAGTTTATGTTTAAACTGTGATTTAGAAAGACCCTTAAGATTTTCGTCAATTGAATTCCACACATTACTGCCAACAAAACGTATATTAAATTTTCCATAGTTGGTTCTTACTTTTGGAAGGGAGTATGACGATCTCGAAGCAAGTCTGGTGTTATAGTTATGTTTTTGGCTTACTAATGCAAAATACTCATCAAATACGTGAGGAAGTCGACCTGTATGAAAGTCATACATAAATAGTGCATTATGATAAAAAATAAGGTCATGAAACTTGAGAAAACGAAGTTGAATGAAGAGAGGGTTAGTATGATCCTGATAGTTAGAAAATGTTATTAAACGAATAATCTTTTTTTGTAGGATAACTAATGGATTCACTGTTGTATTGTACGTGTTACCCCAAGCAACTAGAGCGTATGTAAGAAATGGATAGATAAGTGAATAATATAAATTAATAAGAATATCCAAGGTCACAAAATTACGTATTTTTGAGATAGCTCCAATATTGCGCTTAGAGATTTCTAAAACCTGAGCTTTAAAGTTTAGGTTAGCATCTATCACTACACCCAAATATTTGAAATTAGATGTTTGCTTCAATAATTTATTGTTAATCGTTAATTGGATACTAGAAGAAATTTTTTTCTGAGGAGGGTGAAATATAACAAAGTTTGTCTTATCGATGTTAAGCGGCAATTTGTTAACACAGAGCCATTTATTTATATGCTCAAGTTGACTATTTATAGTAGATTCAAGAATTGGTAGGCTTTTATTATCAAAGAATAAGCTTGAATAGTCAGCAAAAAGAAAAAAGTCAAGAATTCTGGAGGAATTACAAAAATCATTTATATAGATTAGAAATAGAAGTGGGCCAAGGACAGAACCTTGGGGTACACCACATGTAATAGGCATTAAAGATGATCTAACATTGCCAATTGTCACAAACTGTTGCCGATTCTCTAGATACGATTGGAACCATTTAAGTGCCACGCCTCGTATACCATACCATTCAAGTTTTTGCAATAAAATATGATGGTTAACTGTATCAAATGCTTTCGACAAATCAAGGAATACAGCACACGAATATTTACCATCATCGATAGCTTTCTGTATCTTATCAACTATTGATAAAATTGCATGTAATGTAGAATGATTTGAACGAAAGCCAAACTGTTTAGTATATATTATATCATATTTTTCAACAAAGTTTGACAGACGTTTAGACACAATTTTTTCAAGAATCTGGTTAAAAATAGATAATAAAGATATAGGGCGATAATTGTCTAAGATTAATTGTGAGCCTTTTTATGTACAGGAATGACACTAGCCAGTTTGAATTGGCTAGGTACAGTACCAGTTGAAAGACAACAATTAAAAATAGATTCCAAAGGCTTTCAAAAATAAATCTCCTTAGCAATTTCAGAATTTTAACTGGCATGCTATACGGGCCCGTAGCTTTTGAGGAATTAAACTGGACAATTATTTCTTCAATTTCGTTAGAGGAAGTTGGATTCAAGAACAGACTATTTACTTGGCGAGAAGTCATAAATGACACTGGACTTGTATCAATACAGGGGACATCTCTAGTTAATGCATTTCCAATATTAGCAAAATAATTATTAAACCTGTCAGCAATTGATTTACTATCAGTTATTTCATCACCATTAATAAGTATCTTTGAGGGTAAACCTCTGTTTTTTGTTTTGAGAGTTATTATTTGTTTAATTCCTTTCCATATATTTTTTATGTGCGATTTGTTTGTGGTAAAATATTGATTATAATAATTAATTTTACTAATTTTTAATAAGTGATTTATTTTGTTCCTATAGGTTTTAAATTTATTGTAAAAGTACAGTGATCTTGTTTTAATATATTTTTTATAATAATTGTCCTTAAGTTTTATAGACATTCTAATCCCTGAGGTTATCCAAGGTTTATCAAAGTGTTTAAGTTCTTTTTTGCTCAGATGTCGCAGAGGAATATGTTTATCTACAATGCTAGACAGTTTGGAGTGAAAAATATCGAACACTTCTGTTGGATTGCTATCATTGGATGTTTCCATGTTCCAATCAGTAGACTGAATTTCTTCAAGTAATAAAGCTTCATTATATTTGGAATAATCCCTACGGGAGAGTTTAAAGTTCTTAGGTAGTGCTGAAAACTTATTTATAACTAGAAAATTCGGAAGATGATCAGTTAAATCATATATTATGTTACCACTAAAAGTATGATGATTAACTGAGTTGAAAAATATGTTGTCAATTAGAGTAGCCGAGTGATCAGTTATTCGTGTTGGTTGTAGTATGTGAGGATGAAAAAAATAAGATCCCATTGAATTTACAAACTCGTCGGTACCTGCGTGAGATTCAAAATTTAAAAGATTTAGATTAAAATCTCCCATGATTATACAATATTTGTTTCTCTACTAATTATATTTAGAGCATTATTCAAGAACACCATAAATGCTTCGAGATCACTTTGGGGATGTCTGTAAATTACCCCACAAATAAGATTATGATGTAGATTACTCTTTATCTCAATCCATTATGATTCGAATTGAATTGACGAACAAGACAGGTCTGATCTTGTTGAATAACTCAAACTATCATTAATAAAAAACCCAGTGCCACCTGCATTTGATAAACTAGGTTGAGAAACAAATGTGTATCCAGGTAAGTATTGATTAGATATTGCCTCTCTAGAAGTATTAAGTTTGGTCTCAGTAAGACCAATTATAGAAAAGCAGTGATTTAGCTCGTTAAGCATATGTACAAAGCTATCAAAATTAGCAGCAAGGCTTCTTATATTAGAATGAAGAGCAGAAAAACTTCCACTGGAAATGCAGCTTTGGATCTGATTGCTATGGAGAAAGTCCTCGGTAGTATAGTACTTAAAATTAGTTTGTAAAGGCAAATTTACATCTGGATCAATATAAGATAAATTGTTATTTGAATTCAAGCTATAGAAATTATCTGACTCTAACAAAGGTAAAGAATTTAACTTAGCAGCCATGACATTATATGACTATATCTATTAAAGTTTTAAATATACAATAAATAAAGTACTTATCCAGCCATTGGAATGTCTCTGATGTGTGTGATACCAATTGAAGGGCTATAGACTCATCTTTGCGTAAAAAAATCTTTCCATTTACTGTCCAGATAAACTTATAATGTTGCTGTTTCTTGAATTCGAGGCACTTGTTAAATAATTTCTTGTTTGCCTGGGTTAGGCTTTCTGCTATATAAATTTTACGTTCAGCAGATCTGAGAATACCAATATCTCGTGTTGTAATTTGACGGAGATTCTTCCTTGCCTTGTACAATTGATCTCGAATATCACGCCGAATAAATTTGGCGATAATGGCGGGTTCCGTGTTTCGACTATTATTTCGATTTGCAGGCAGACGATGACTTATGGATATGTCGTTAGATTCAATTGCAACACCAATTACTTCACCAACTTTCCGAACAATTTCATTTGTCTTTTCTCCGGGTAGCACCAGTATACCTCGGATTTCAAGGCATTCTCTCCTAGAGTACTGTTCTAGGTTATTCAGATCTTGTTTCATCAACTCAATGTTGTTCGACTAAGTAGAGATTCTTTAAGGAATTTATTTTCTTTAGCTAATTCGTTGTTAAAATCTTCCATAGCTATCACTTTTAGTTGTACTTTTTAAGTTTGTTTGCCGATTGAAAAACGTATCGAAAAATAAAAATTTTGAATTTAGTCATAACCTCAAGCGATATATTATACGCATTAGTTTTGAGCACGTGTTACGTAACATACAAAAAAAATCTCCTCTTAAATATAAACACAATTGGTTATTCAAAAGGTGCATTTTAAAGCAATTAAAAGTTAACTGGCCAAGTAAGACGAAGTTAAACACATTAAAGAAAATGCTTTATCGCGGGGGGCCGGGACATATAAACAGATTGTCAATTTATTAAATTGTCAATTTCCGTCGGATAGTTTGTTGTATTTTATATGTTTGTCAGCATTGTTCGCTGAGTGTCCGAACACTAGAATTTTATCATGATTTTCTTAACTTCGATACAGCACAAAATTAAACACAACAGATTATATTTTTACGTATTTCAAACCTTTGTGTGCCCCGAAGGAAATCTTGATTCTTGAGGAAATCTCTGAATTTAAAATTTCTGTGTTGTTATTTTAAATGCATGCTAATTATCAATTAACCAATGAAATAGCTTCATTTGTCATAAATTACTCAAATAAAGCACTGTCCAATCAGAGGCCTTTCCCCAAATCTGGGGAAAATCCACGTGACCAGAACAAGGAAT